AAATCTTAGAGTCTCCCTTGACTCTTCTCTCACAAGCCACACCAACCCATTAGGCTTACTTATAAAACATATCCTAATTCACACCTTTTGCCACCTCAATTGCTACTATCCTAACATACCTTGTTTTAATTATTGTAACAATATCCCTTAAATTATCTCTGCCTCTCTTTTCCTTCCACTAGTTACTCTTTACATGGCACCCAGACTGATCATTTTAAATATAAATCAAATCATGTTATTATTCTTCTATTCAAAATCCTATAAGGCCTCCTCATTTCACTCACATTAAAAGTCCTTACAATGGTCAACAAGGCCCATGCTAATGTTTTGACCTCCTCTCCTACAATCCTCCTCCTGCTTGGTCCACTCTAGTCACAACAGCTCCTTTGCTGCTCCCTGAATTCCCAGGTGCACTACTGCCCTAGGGCCTTAACAATGAACACACCTTCTGTTCTTCCCCAGATTTCTGCTGGCAGACATCTAGTTCTTTGCTCAAATCCCACTTTCTCAACACGGCCTATATGACTTCTGAATTCAATCTCCAATCTCCCACCCCTATACTCCTGATTCTGCTTCCTGATTTCTACTCATGTCAGAGTCCTACGTAGATCTGCAGAGCGCTCTGCTCCATCTGTTCAGGTACCCAGCCTCCTCCCACCTAAGGGCTACCATCTCAGCCAGTTCCTTTGGGGACCATTCCCTTTAGCCAATGTATATCGGCAGTGGGAGAGTAAAGATAGAGAGGATGGAGAAGGCATGCCTGCTTTTAAATGCCCTGGCTGAGATGACATATATAACTAGATTATATAACCCATCCTCCTTGCAGCCAGATGGGACCATATGACTAGTTTTCATCAATGGGATTTGTTTAAGGAAAGGAAAACACGAATATTAGTGAGTACTTCAATCACCAAGTACCTTTTTGCTCCCTTTTTCTACACATAGAACACATTCATCTCCTCCCACCATACCACACTAGCCCAGAAAGAAAACCTGAAGTCCCATTTGGTCAATGCATCCACGATCTCTGGATATGGCACAGTCTTCTTCATTTGGAAATATGTGTAACCCCTATGATGCAACCTATGAGCTAAAAAGGCAAATTACCTGCACCTTCCTTTCCCACTCCCAATATACAATGGTAGAACAGAAGCAAGAGTTTCTTCCTTATCCAAAATCCTCCTTGGTCAAGTGGGCTCTGGCATGCCCTCCTTAGGGGTTGCACAACTCTCACAACCCACCAAACCACCCTGCCAGAGCAAGTTCTAGGTTTTTCTTAAAGTGGTTTTATAGTTCAAATACTCAAGGACTTGTTCAGTCCAGGCTCGTGGTTTCTTTGCCAATACAATCCCCTCAGAAACTTAGTAGGCCTTTGATCTAATTGTTTCCAGTCAGTTCCATGTGCCAGGAACCACACACAAAGTTCTTTCCTAGACATAATTCCCAAGCTTGATGTATTTCTTTGCCTCCATGCCTCTTGTCTTCAACTAATAGAAGACACCTGGAGGCCATATGAAACAACAAGGTCAGTGGTTTCCAATTTTGGTTGCACAATAGAATCACCTGGGGAACTTTTAAAAACTGTCTATTCCAGGTTTCATGTACCTCAGACCAATAAATCAGACACTCTGTATGCTGGACCAAGGGGATTCTGATAAGCAGCCAAAAACAAAAACCTATATCCTTAATCTAATCTTTGCCACAAAACTGAGTTATCTTTTCAACTGAGAAAATTTATTAGGGCTTTGTTGCTTAAAGCCTTTCTCCACTCCTCTCTCTTTCTAGGGTCTAGAAGCAGTCTGTTTTCCCCTTCACTACCCCAAGTGCCAGAACTTTCTCTATTCTCTTTCGTTCTTTGCTTACAAACTAGCAAACAAGCTCATCTTTCTCTTGTAATCTTAATGTTAATAGTTTCACACTCTAATCTTTTCCAACACTGACCCAGAGCTCAGCTGGCATGAGATGTGCCTTTCAAATTGTCACAGATGACAAGTTCACCAAGTAGGTTACCACTGCATAACAATGGTTTCTGTCTTTCCCCCTCCAATACCAGTTTCCTCATTAGTGTGCCACCAACTGCTAAAGCCAATGCTAGAAATTTTACGGTTTTGTTTTAACAGAACTCCACCTCTTGTACTACCGAGTGTAGCAAAAACTAAAACTTCAGCACCTTAACACAAAGTTTTTATCATGCCCCCATCACAGTCGAGTGAGTTGGTGCATATTCACCTCTATCTATCATTCAAGGACCAAGTTTCCTTTTATTTTATGGGTTTACCCTCCTCTGGGTCCTGATGGAATTCTCTCCACTAAGGTGACAGAGAGGGCAGAGTTCCCACTTAGATACAGGAAGGCTGAGAAATGTAGTCTAGATGTGTGCCCAGCAAGAACAGGAAAACAGTGATGTTGACAAGCCCCCACGGTCTCTTTCACACTTAAGCTCCACAAGAGCAGGAATCTTTGTCTGGTTTGTTCATAAATATATCCCAAGTGCCTGTTACAGAACCTGGCACATGGTAAGAGCTCAAAAAATAACTTCTGAAAGAATAAATGAATGGACAGGATAAATCTCAGATATGGTACCATATAGCCTCTTTTTTTTTGTAATAAAGGTAAATTAGATGTACTGAGGACTAAAAGAATAATGAATTATACTGTATAGCTGTTTAGATAAAACATTAAAGAGAAATTTTTGGAAAAATCAAAATAAACTTCCAGTACTAAACACTACACATATCAAATACCCAATGAAAATTCACATACAAGCTGGTTAAACACACACTAAATTCATCTGTTGTGAACATACAGAAACACTCGCTCAAAATATTAGAGCAAACACAGTGGACAATCTCCAAAGAAGTTACTATTAAACTGATTACACATTTTTTTGTGTGGGTTCTTTTTACCCAACCTCAAAATTCACCCACATCTTCCTCAAAGAACAAGGGCATTGCACAAAGAGTCTTAATTCTGAAAACAAGGTACACACACACACTGCTGAAAGATCTTACCAGTATGCACCTACCATACACAATGCATACATCCATCAAAATTTAGAACTGATACATTCATTTATACCAGCTTTAAAATTATGCATCTGATACTACTTGATTTTTCCTAACATTTTAAGTCATATAACAAAATTAAAGGACTTGATAAAACAGAAAAAGGGCTGGCCAGTTAGCTAACTTGGAAGAGTGTGGTGCTGATAATACCAAGGTCAAGCAAGGGTTTGGATCCCCATACTGGCCAGCTGCCAAAAAAACAAAAATAAAATAAAACAAAACAAAAATAACAAAGCTAAAGTAAAAATAACAGCAAATGAAAATAAAACCTACTTCACTAGAGTATTGTGAGGATCAAACAGGAATATAAAAATTCACTTTTGACTTGTGTACTTTTCTGTATGTTATAACTCAACGAAAACGTTCAACAGAGTAAAAGAAAAGTGCTTCATAAATCATAAAACAGTATTCAAACTTATCCCTAAATAAATGTAAAATCTCCGTTTTTCAAAAGGCATATAAATTAGCTAAATGAGCAAGTTTAAACTAAGAGGAACAGAAGGTCTTCATTCTTCTAGCCCCAACATCTAGAATGAGAACTTTCAGTAGAAACATACTGGCGAACACAATCATTATGAAAGGTAACAAGCAATAAGCTATCTCAGTGTAAAGAGTTAGACAATAAATAAAAAACAGTGAAAGAAACATTAACAAATCAGTTAACACAGTGGGGTACTTGTATTTTAAGAAAGGGAAAAGTAGCAATTTGAAAATCTGTAGATGTTCTTCATTCAATGAAAAAGAGAAGAAACTATTGGGGGGGGGGTTTCTTTTTTTTTTTTTTTGAAGATTTATAAATGACTCTTCACCCCCCCAAAAAAAAAATATATATATATATATTGGAACTCACAACACAGGATAGAGTGTTCAGTTTAACAAAATTTTATAGTTGATTATAAGTAAAAACCTACCTAATTAAAAAAAAATGTCTATCAGGTTGTCAGAAGTACAGGAAGTAGAGTTAAGCGTACATATGGGTTGATATTTATTTTGTTTCTTCTTTAACTAATCCCTGATAGGAGCTTATTTGCTTTTTCCTGGTTGAGTTTTAAGAAGGCTAAAGACAAAAAAAAAAACTGGTTATTAAAACTTTCTAATACTTGAAGTCAAGTGGGATGACCAGGCTTAAGAACCTAGACCCTGAACTATACTTCTGACCATATATATTTTTCTACCCATTAGCAAACCAACCAACCAACCAACAAAAACTAGAGAAAAGGTTTTAAAACAAAGGCTATCTCAATTTTTTGGAAAGAGAAGTATGACATTTCTAAAACTCTGGAAATCAACTGAGAGAAGGGAGAAAAATATTTGGTGATAAGCATGTTATGTGATTTATAAACACCACAAAAAACCAGACATTGGGCCGGCCCGTGGCTCACTCGGGAGAGTGCGGTGCTGATAACACCAAGGCCCCGGGTTCGGATTTTTAAAAAAAAAAAAACCAGACATTGACCTCCAACCCAAATCTTGTTATTTTAAAAACTACTTTTGAAGATAAAGACACCAATGTGACAATGGTTGTAAAATACGATATTTTCTCCAACTTTAGAGAGGCAAAAATTTAACTCCTTTATTTTTTGTAGCTCCAACATTTAAACCCCATAAATGTGAAGAAAACTGGCTTGAAAAAAAGAACTTTAAATTTTACTTAAAGCTGAAAAGAATAAGCATTTGGGGGGATACTCCTCGTACAATATTAAAACAAGAAGAAACTTACTTT